ACAGCTCACAGCAACCTCCAACTCCTGGGCTCAAGCGAGTCTCCTGCCTCAGCCTCCCAAGTAGCTGGGACCACAGGTGCCTGCCACAACACCCGGCTATTTTTTTTGGTTGCAGCCGTCATTGTTGTTTGGCGGCCTGGGCTGGATTCGAACCCGTCACCTTAGGTGTATGTGGCTGGCGCCTTGACCACTTGAGCCACAGGCGCCGAGCCAAGTTTTCCTTTTTTTTTGCAGTTTTTGGCCAGGGCTGGGTTTGAACTCACTGCCTCCAGTATATAGGGCCGGCACGCTACTCTTTTGAGCCACAGGCGCTGCCCCCATTTCAATTTTCCAAAGTGGTTAGATCAACTTACAATTCCACTAGCAGCTTATGGGAGTTCCAGTTGCTTCACATGCTCCCAACACTTGATACTAGCTTTGTAAAATTCAGACACACAGGTAGGTGAGTTGCTATTATATTACTTAAGAAATGGGGTCTTTTACTGTTACCAAGGCTGGTGTACAGTGGCACAATCATAGGTCACTGAAGCCTCAAACTCCTCCATCCTCTAGGTGCAGCTTCCTGAGTAGCTAGAATTACAGGTATGTGCCACCATGCCTGAATAATTTTTGTTTATTTTTTTGAGACAATTTTCTTGCCTTAGCTTCCTGAGTAGCTGGGATTACAGGTGCCTGCCACAATGCCCGGCTATTTATTTGTTGCAGTTTGGCCAGGGCCGGGTTTGAACCCGCCACCCTCGGTATATGGGGCCAGTGCCCTACCCACTGAGCCACAGGCGCTGCCCCACAGACCAGTTTATTAATCCATTCATAGGTTGACAGGCACTTGGGTTATTTCCACACCTTTGCCATTTGAACTGAGAGACTATGAACATTCTAGTGCAAATGTTCCTGTGGAAAAATGTCTTTTTTCATTTGGGTAAATATCTACTAGTAGAGTTGCAGGGTCAAATGGTAGGTTTACTTTTAGTTCTTTGAGAAATTTCCATACTTCTTTGCGGGAAGGCTGGACTAGTTTCCAGTCCCACCAACAGGGTATGAGTGTTCCCTTCTCTCCTCACCCACACCAACTGTTGCTTTGTGACTTTTTGATGTGGGCCATTCTCACTGGGGTTAGGTGATACCTCAAAGTGGTTTTGATGTACATTTCTTTGATTATTAGGGATAATGTACATTTTCTCATATGTTTATTGGCCATTCTTTGAGACGAGCCTCAAACTGTTGCCCTGGGTAGCATCACAGCTCACAGAAACCTCCAACTCCTGGGCTCAAGCAGTTCTCCTGCCTCTGCCTCCCAAGTAGCTGGGACTATGCACCTGCCACAACACCTGGCCTTTTTTTTTTGTTGTAGCCATCATTGTTGTTTGGCAGGCCTGGGCTGGATTCGAACCTGCCAGCTCAGGTGTACGTGGCTGGCGCCTTAGCTGCTTGAGCCATAGGCGCCGAGCTGTGTACTTTTTTTTTTAAAGACAGAGTCTTACTTTATCGCCAATGGTAGAGTGCCGTGGCGTCACACAGCTCACAGCAACCTCCAAATCCTGGGCTTAGGCGATTCTCTTGCCTCAGCCTCCCGGGTAGCTGGGACTACAGAAGCCCACCACAATGCACGTCTATTTTTTTTGTTGCAGTTTGGCCGTGGCTGAGTTTGAACTCGCCACCTTCAGAATATGGGGCCGGCACCCTACCCACTGAGCCACAGGCGCCGCCCCTTTCCTCTGTACTCTTGAGAAGTTTGTGTCTCTTGTCCAGTTTTTTTTTTTTTTTAAATTTGAGACAGAGCCTCAAGCTGTCCCCCTGGGTAGAGTGCTGTGGCATCACAGCTTACAGCAACCTCCAACTCCTGGGCTCAAGCGAGTCTCCTGCCTCTGCCTCCCAAGTAGCTGGGACCACAGGTGCCCGCCACAATGCCTGGCTATTTTCTTTGGTTACAGCCATGATTGTCTGGCGGGCCCGGGCTGGATTTGAACCCACCACCTTAGGTGTACGTGGCTGGCATCTTAGACACTTGAGCCATAGGCGTGGCGCCTCTTGTCCAGTTTTTAATGGGATTGTTTGGTCTTTTCTGGTTGATATGCTTAGTTCACTGTAGACCCTGTTGACTAGCTCTCTGTTAGATTCATAGCATGCAAATAGGCGCTCCCGTTCTGAAGGTTGTCTTTTTGATTTTTTTTGAGATAGAGTTTCATTATGTCACCCTCAATAGACTGCCGTGGCGTCACAGCTCATAGCAATCTCAAACTCTTGGGCTTAAGAGATTCTCTTGCCTCAGCCTCCCAAGTAGCTGGGACTACATACAGGTCCCTGCCACGATGCCTGGTCTATTTTTTGGTTGCAATTGTCAATTGTTGTTTAGCAGGCCCAGGCCGGGCTTGAACCCACTAGCTCTGGTATATGTGGCAGGCGTCCTACTCACTGAGCTATGGCCAAGGTTGTCTTTTTGTTTTGTGGATTGTATCCTTATCTGTGCAAAAGTTGTCTTTTTGTTTTGTGGATTGTATCCTTAACTGTGCAAAACTTTTTCTGAGTTTTACTTTATCGCTTTCAGTAGAGTGCTGTGGCATCATAGCTCACAGCAACCTCAAACTCTTGGGCTCAAGTGATTCTCTTGCCTCAGCCTCCCAAGTAGCTGGGACTACAGGTGCTTGCCACAACGCCTGGCTATTTTTAGAGACAGGGTCTCGCTCTTGCTCAGGCTAGTCTCCAACTCACGAGCTTAAGTCAATCCACCTGCCTTGGCCTCCTAAGTGATGGGTTTAAGGCATGAGACACCACGCCTGGCCTTCTGGGCAAAACTTTTCTTTTTTTTGAGACAGTCTCATTATGTCGCCCTTAGTAGAGTGCCATGGCATTAGTGCTCATAGCAACCTCAAACTCTTGGGCTCAAGGGATTCTCTTGCCTCAGCCTCCTGAGTAGCTGGGACCACAGGTATCTGCCACAAAGCCCGGCCATTTTTTTGGTTGCAGTTGTTGTCTAGCAGTCCTGGGCCGGGCTTGAACCCGCCACTTTTGGTGTATGTGGCTGGTGCCCTACTCACTGAGCATAGGTGTCAAGCCTGTGTAAAACTTTTTAACTTGATCAGGTCCTATTTATTTTTGTGGGGGTTTGCTGTGCTTTTTTAATTTTTTTTTTGAGACAAGAGTCTCACTTTGTTCCCCTTGGTAGAGTGCTATGGCATCATAGCTCACAGCAACCTCAAACTCTTGGGTTCAAGTGATCCTCTTGCTTCAGCCTCTCCAGTAGCCTGTGATGGGACTATAGACACCCACCACACTGCCTGGTTATTTTTAGAGATGGGGTCTCACTTTTGCTTAGGCTGGTCTTGAACTTTTTTTTTTTTTTTT